CGTTTGTTCAACTACTATGTCGGCTAAAAATTCATTCCTTCCCATCGACCGAGATCATTACTCGTCGGCATCAAATACCAAGCACTTAACTGAGATCGTTCCTCTAGCCGAGGTTTTTGTTTCATTAAATCGAGAACTCTAAGAGTTTTATCTGCTCATGAGCTGTCACGCACGGTTTTTCTTAACCGTTTCTACTTCGCGTCCTTTCCTTATCAGTTCATACCTGACACGCGCTATCAGGTTGCATCGCTTCTACGCACGCCGCCTGACAAGCACGTCATCCAAGGTGTTTAATTATGTTTTGCTGCCTTTTCACGTTTTATCAAAAATACTTTCTCTCTCTCTATCTTTTCACTTCACATTCTCGCAATCTCTCTCAAAGTTTTCTTTGTCTATGAAATTTCCCTCAAACCTCCATTACCGTCCTTTCGAGCTTTCTGCATTCATTTGACTTCCGCTTCCGGCGAGCTTTTTACCACCGGGATCTAGACAATACCAATGTTGGACTCCGGTGAACGTTTTTCTAGCCTTTGACTTCCGCTTCCGGCGAGCTTTTTACCACCGGGATCTAGACAATACCAACATTGGACTCCGGCGAACTTCTTTCCAGCCTTTATTTGGTAGGTTCATGATTTCTTGTCTTGTAATCTCTATCCTTTATTTTTTGATTTGTTGCGTATCTATTACCTGTTTACATGCTGTTCGTTGCCATTGTAAATCAGTTTTTGTTCTTGAATCTTCATTGTACAATATATCCTTGTGTCTATTCACATTTTTCGGGATTCTCGCACACACATAGTGTTCATAAATTTGAAGCTTTAACAATTTTGCCACTGTTCTTGGCTTTTGCACATCCGCACACACCTACTCAAAGTTTCTTGAAAAATGTTGCTTTTCTTGATTTTGAATCATATTCTTTTTTGTTTTTCCTTGACTTGCTTCCAGATTCTAGCCTTTGTTTTTAGGTTTTGGGAATTGATAGAAATCATATTCTCTAGGAAAATTGAAACAAATTCCCCATAGATCTTCAAAAACCCTCGCCTCAGTTCCAGCTTAGGTTTTAGCCAAGGTTCCCAATCCCTACTATTTTCTCCTCTCTAACATTTCTCCCAAAACACTCTAAGTCGAGATAATGAGTATGTTTAGGTGGAGGGTAAATTTCCCAGAAAAACTTGAGCACTTTAGGAGAGAGTTTTCTATCCCAGCCGATGTCTAACTTAGGTTAGCTGGGGAGGAGGACTCTATTATGCCGAATGGGGTTTCCATGCCCTTCCCAGTGGTTGCCTTTATCGAATGTGGACTTCGGTTTCCCCTTGATACTCTCTTTCGTGAAATCCTCCATTATTACAAACTTAACCCCATGCAACTTGCCGTAAACTCATATCAGGTCATTAATAGCATAATTGAACTAGCACATCGAGAAAAAGCTAGGATCACTTTAGTCGACATCCAATTCTGCTATACCATATGTGGCCTTAAGTTTGAAAAAGGCTACATGTACTACCTCAAGCCCAGGTCCACTGCCTACAAATTAATAGCCGACCTCCCAGACTCTAACAAGGGTGCTGGAGATGATTACTTCATCGTCTCAGGCAATTGGGAATTTGCACCTGACGACGACCTTCATTTCTATCTTCTACACCGATCGGTGTTTAAAGAGGGTGATGGTAAGAGCTGAGCTACCTTTTTAATCATATTTCAACTAGGATTTGTCAATATATATGTGTTTTTTGTAATGTTCTTCTTCTCACTTCTTTTTGCAGCTCTTCTCCAGCCAGCAAAGGATTTTTGGTAGACCTTCTTCCCCAGCTCCAATCTAAAAAGGCTTTTAGGTTTGGATATTAATAAGCGTAAAGCCCTTTTGCTGCTTAATTATATCCCGACCTACAAGTCCGCGTTACTCGACGTCCCACGTCAAAACAAGACTCCTCCATTAGCAATAACTCCCACAGTTGCTTTATCGCCAAGGCCAGATTAGGCTTCTTCATCAGACCTAGTAGAGAAACCATCCACTTCTACTCCAGCTCAACTAATCCCACCATCTCAGTGCCGACGCCGATGTTGCGCTCTACCAAATGTACCAGCAGGCCGAACTCGTAGCTGCAAATGACAAGATTCTGAGGCGTCGGCCTATGATCCAACCAATCCTCTCATCGCCCTTCCCGTTATTCACTTTGACACCAAAGTTACACTTGCTACTACTGTCGACGAAATAGGCTGCAAACCAGCTGTCATCGAGGACCTTCTAACCGATATCCCTAGGGTAGTGACTGTTCAGTCCTCCTCTTCTCCCTCTCAACCCAAGCCAAAGCCTAAGAGAGTCAAAAAAGCTAAGGCCAAGGCTATAGTGACTAAAATTGATTCTGAGGACACTACACTGATCTCAAAACTGGCGGACTCTGGAAAGAGTACTCCTGCTACCGACAAGAGGCCAGCCGAGGCCGAGGTGTCTAAACCACCACAATCCAAAAAGCCAAGGTCCGGCGGGTCTTCTGATCCCTTTGGTTTCTGCAACAACGCTCCCAGGACTCCATCTGTCACGGTCGGAGACTGATTTCTTCTAGATGGGGACAGCGCGCTCAACAGTCTGGAAGTCGGTGCCGCCATTTCCATCGCCATTCTGCTCCTAGCCGACAAAAATCGGATGGACGAGCTTTCCGACATATGAAAACTATGCGATGATAATGCAGCGCTGTGTCTTGGTAAGTGGCAACACTTGTAACTTTTAGTTTAGTTCCAACTCCTGTTTTCATACTTGACGAATTTTCTTCACATTCTTGCAGACTATCCAGAATGGTCACTCCCTTGTAGTCAAGACCGATAAGTTCAAGAAAGAACTAACCCAAAAAACAAAGGAGGCAGCCAAACTCCGTACTTCACTAAACAAAGTCGAGGCTCGTATCCGAGGCCTCCTAGATCAGACCAAGGCTACTGAGTTGGCCCTGAAGAAAGCCGAAGACCGCACCGAGGCTACGAAAAATATTGCCGAGGTTGCTCAGGTTGATGCAAAAGAGGCCAAAGATAAGAAATCTCAAGCCCAAATCAAGTTGCAAGCAACACTTGCTACCAAGGGGCTGAGATAAAGGAGGCGGATGAGAAAGCCTATGCCGAAGGGGTAGCTGGCATCCGTGATGAATACAAAAAGCAAGTCAAACAGGCATGCAACTGGAGTTACACCCTTGGTTGGATGGCTTCTTTGAAGAAGTTGGCTGTCCCTGACGACTCGCCCCTCGGCGACAAGAGCTGACTTGTCATGCCATTCCCTCTCGCTCCAAGCCAATCTGAGGATGAGGTTGAGGGGGATGAAGAAGTTGAGGCCGACAAGGCTGAGAAGACTGAATTTGTTGAGGCCAAGTACCCAACTCTGAATAAGCACGTCGTGGACTTGACTCGAGACGATGAAGACGAGGTCCCCAAGAGCATCCCTAAAGCCGAGGTTGCTAGCGCCGAGAAGAGCCTTGACAAGACTCTTCTAGAGATCAAGGCCGAGAAGGCTGCCGAGAAGCTCTCCCAGTTATCTGCTGAGGCCGAAACACAGCCAACCGCCGATGCAGAACAGTCTGTTTAGAATCTCTTCTTTGTACTTTTTCCTTTGTTTTGAACAGTGTTTGTTTTTGTCAGCCTGATGTGCCTGCTTATGTACTTGAACAAGTTATCTCTTTCTTAATGCAAGTCTTCTGTTTTCTTCCAAATGTTGAATGTATGCCTTATTTTCTTCTATGCTTGTTTACTGTTTTCTTTCATGCCTTTCATGCTTCCATACTTAGAATATTTTTGTATTTCTTCAAAGTATACCTTAACTGTATAATAACTCCAGGATATAAAAATATCAAAATATTTTTACAAGTGTTATTCAGTATTGCGTTTTTACCTCCATATGCTATCTTCTATTAAGACTTCACTTTTTCCAAGTTTTGACATCCTGGTTGGTCACCTCGGGTAATATGTTTCTCGGATACTTTATTCATAATTATCTCGGCTAACTCCAACTTGTAAATTTCTCTAAAATTTCAACAAGTGTTAAGCCTATTTTTACTTGTAAATTTTTCTGAAAATTTCAACAAGTCCAAGCTCTAAGTTTTTTATCATTCCTGCTCCGTGCCCCTAATGTGAATCTATGTCGCATAAGCTTTTGCCCATTAAGGCATGCGTCTATGGTCTTTCGCCGAAGTCAGATTCAATCAAAGACTTCCCGAGGTGTTTCAACCTTGGTTTCTCTATTAATGAACTGAGTTCTATTCTGAGCTTGACTCTACCGATATGGCAAGTCCAGGTTAATCCAACTTAGTTCAACTCTATTATATGCAAGTATAATTCAACTCTGTCATATAATGAGTCTAAGTTATTCGTCATGTTTCATTCGGAAATATCGCCAATTTAGTTCAACTCTATTATATGCAAGTATAATTCAACTCTTCCATATAATAACTCTAAGTTATTTGTCATGTTTCATTCGAAAATATCGCCAATTTAGTTCAACTCTATTATATGCAAGTATAATTCAACTCTGCTATATAATAACTCTAAGTTATTCGTCATGTTTCACTCGGAAACATCGCAAACTTAGTTCAACTCTATTATATGCAAGTATAATTCAACTCTGCCATATAATAAGTCTAAGTTATTCGCCATGTTTCATTCGGAAACATCTCCATCTTAGTTCAACTCTATTATATGCAAGTATAATTCAACTCTGCCATATAATAAGTCTAAGTTATTCGTCATGTTTCATTCGGAAACATCGTCAACTTAGTTTAACTCTATTATATGCAAGTATAATTCAACTCTGCCATAAAATAATTCTAAGTTATTCATCATGTTTCATTCAAAAACATTGCCAACTTAGTTCAACTCTATATTATGCAAGTATAGTTTAACTCTACCATATAATAAGTCTAAGTTATTCGTCATGTTTCATTCGGAAACATTGCCAACTTAGTTCAACTCTATTATATGCAAGTATAATTCAACTCTTCCATATAATAAGTGTAAGTTATTCGTCATGTTTCATTCAGAAACATCGCCATAGGACTAGTCAGTCCTATCACACAAATTTTAAATTCACAAAAATCAAACTAAAATTTTTATTATTACTTCGGCTAATAATATAAAATTTGAAAAACAAAGATCTAATGATAGAAAAACTTCAAGTTACAAGTGTTCCAGGGTCTCGGCAACTCTGTGCCAACACTGTCCTCAAGCCGATATGCCCTATTGCCGACCGAGATGATTCTATAAGGCTCCTCCCAATTTGGGCCTGGCTTGCCCTCCCTAGGATCCTTCTTGTTTTCAACTACTTTCCTCAGCACAAGGTCCCCAACTTTGAACTCTCTTGGGTTGACCTTCTTGTTATAAGCCCAGCAAGTTGTTGCTAGTATGCCCCCAGCCGAATTGCTGCTCCCGCTCTCTCTTTTCTCCTCCAGTAGGTCCAGATCTCGGGCTAGAAATGCCTCATTAGTAGCATTTTCCACTCCCTAGGTTCTGATCCCTGGAATGTCGACTTCTTGGGATACTGCTTCAGTGCCAAAAGCCATGGCAAATAGAGACTCCCTAATTGATCTTCTCGACGTAGTCTGATATGCCCAGAGTACATTGGGCAACTCCTTCACCCATTTTCCTTTTGCTGCTTTCAGTCTCTTTTTGATCCCATCCAAGATAGTCTTATTGGATGCTTCTGCCTGACCATTACTCTGAGGAAAACTTGGAGTAGAGTAGTAGTTCTTGATTTTGTATTTTACACAGAAGCTTTTGATTAGCTTATTGTCAAACTGTGTACCATTATCTACTATTATTGCCCTTGGGATCCCAAACCTGGTGATAATGTTCTTCTATATGAAGTTGGGAGGGATGCACTTCATGTATTTCATACAAAAAGTCTTCAACTTGGGAGGGATGCACACACCTCAAAAGGGGACCAGTAAAAAACCTTCTGTAGAGATGTCCTTCTGCTGTTAGGCTAAACCTTGCCGACTTTAGTTTGGTCTTATGCGCCTCTTTGCGATCATCTGGTAACATGTCATCCATAAGAAACATCACTATTGCATCCATCCAACTTGGACCCATCTCTACACGCATTGCTTCATACTCTGTGATTAATGATTCCATACTTGGTGTCACGCCCCGAAAATAATCCCACATAACTATTACATCAACCCTCTTCTAAAATGAGATATTAACCAAAATCATTTACATAGTTCCAAATGCTTACTAAAGTATTCTCACATGCCAATATACATTTATTACAAACTAGTACATGAATCTAGAGCAAGTAAAAGAAATCACTGAATCACAACAAATAAGGCCCTCAAGGGCTTACAAGTTCCAAGGCAATAGCCCGGTTACACATAATGGTCTCTCGGACCCAAACACATTAGCCCTCGGCTTATAACTAATATCACAACAAAATAAGAGTCAAACTACTCTTCTTCAAACATCTCCACGCCCTTAGCTTGGCGGGGTCACCACATCTTTACCTGCACCAATTCCCATAGGGGTGAGCATAAAGCCCAGTAGAGATTCCTCACAAAGTATATACAGTTATGCCAATACCATCAATGTTAAAAATGCATATGTGATGCCATGCAAGTGCCAATAGTGAAGGAAAATCTTATTTCAATTCACCATTTCAAAATCATCATGTTCCCAATAATATTCAATGCACTATTTTAAATCCACCATGTTCTCAATAATGTTATGCAATCTCATCAATTTCAAACTTTCAATATTTAAATCAACAGGGGTGGTAAATAAGACACTGGTAATCTCTAGGCTGGTGTCTGTAAGTAGTCTCTACGAGCACTACCAAACTGTCATTTTTACCGGTATTAACTGGAAGGCTCGACACCTATCCACGCAGCTTTCGGGTCTTTCACCCTGGAAACTCAGGCCAACTTATCAAATTCATCTACAACCCCTATCCGGACTTACCAACGTATTTACTCCATACACATTTCCATTAGTTCTCATCACAATAACATTTTTCGTCATGATGTAAATCTCTTCAATTTAGATTCACAATGCACAATGATAAATGAAGTAATATGCAATGCAATAACCTTCTTCATACCTCATAACACTTCTCCATTTTGAATATCTCTACAACAATGCCAACATTTACATTCTCATATTCTCCTTTCAATGTTCATCCACAAAATTAACATGTGTCATCAACATGTTACCACAATTCTCCATTCACATGTCCTAACAAATTAGTCTCTCCATGACTACAAGTGACATATTTCAAATATAAATCCCCGATGTTTACAATTTTTCCACCATTTATGATATCCAACAATTTATCACACACAAGCTTGCTTATTCAAGTATTAGCAATAATATTTAAATAGCACTTCCTCCTCATACATCAAGAAAATTGCCATCTTGTTAAACATTGATGAAACAACTCTCATTTATCCTTTTAACACAAGAAAATAAGTAATTTCAAAGACATTTTCCATTTTACCAAAAATCCCCAATTTCTAGGGTTTTCATCATTGACAAACTATCATCATTTTCTAAGAGGAACTCCATCACACTATTTTTCATGAGTTTAATAGAAGAAAACCCTCAAGATAAAAGAAAAAGGTTGAGATATAAACCCACATTCAAAACTCTCTCTACATTTTGAATCAAAATCAATAAAATCAACACAAACTCAAGAACACTTTAAATCAACAACAAATAGCAAAACTAGTATATATAACTCAAGAAATCCCTACCTCAAATCTTGATGAAGAGCAAGATGAGATGAAACCACAGCTTTGAAAGATGAGAGAGAGCTTTGATTTCTTCAGCACAAGTGAAACCCTAGTTCTTGATCTTCAAGATCTAGAGGGAGAAGATGAAGATCTTGACCCAAGAATTTGCAAAATCAAAGTGTTTTGGTGTTTGGGGAAGTTTTCTAGAGAGAAGGGGGAGAGAAATAGGGTTTAGAGTGAGAGT